GAGTTGTTGAGAGTACCTTAGGTGAGGTGATTTGGTCGAGTGGGAGGTGGTTCAACTTCGATTAAGGTACTTCACAATGCGCTTCGAAGCTGTCGCCAAAAATTTGGGTCGCGTGGCTCGTGTCGGGACTCGGGAGGACGGGGGGAGCTTGGACGCCGCCGCATGTGGCTTTCTTTGCGCCGGGCCGGGAAGCCATGTGGCGCAGAGAAGATGCATATCGGTATAACGGGGTCTCGATCTCTCATTGCCACACATTTCGTCACCGCGAAAGGCCAGCTTTACGCCCCTACTCTACCTCATCGCATCTCGACTTACAACCCCCCTTTCCGAGCAAACTCCTGCGGTTTCCGCTCAAAGAACACGTGGTCCGCTGAATCCCACCCACAACAAACCAAACGAGCCAGACACGCAAAATCGTAGTGGAGAAAAGAGAAAAACGAAAAGCCATGTCCTTCGAAGGTCTGCAGGAGCGCCTAACGGCCCTGCAAGAGACCACGGCCCAGCTCAAGGAGCTCATCGACCGGCTCCAGAACCTCAAATTCCAACCGGGATCGGTCCCGCTCGGAGGCACGGATGAAGAGAACAGTGTCAGCGCGGAGTTGAGTTCGGAAATCAGCCAGATCCTCCGGGAAGAGGAGGACGAGCTGGAGCTTCTCGGGGAGGAGGTTGAGGATCTCAGGGACGGCAGGCCGGGGAGCGAGGTGGAGCACACAAAGACCCGGCTCAAGGATGGCGTGGAGAGGTTGAAGCAGGAGATCAAAAGGTGAGAGATTCCCCTAGCTCTGCCCTCAACTCACGGAGCATTCCAGGAAATTTGGGCGGGAAATCAAAGTCACTAACACGCAATGCCACACACAGTTCACGAATTACCTTCCGCAAGGCGCAACTCACAGCTCGGCACAACCTCTCCCGGGCCCAGCGCCTGGAACGCGAACTACTCATCCAGTCCTACTCGCAGCCCGTCTCCGAAGCGTCCTCCCCGTCCCTCAGCGCGCAACAGAAGCCCGACATCGTCCGCCACCGACAGGTTCACCAGACGAACAACAACACGAGCTCCCTTACAGAAGAGGACAAACAGACGGTCGGCGCCAGCGGCAACGTCACCAGCGCGCTGCGGCGCACGCACGACCTCATCGCGGCGGAGCTGGCCCGCAGTGAGTTTGCGCACCAGACGCTGACCGAGTCCTCGGCGGCCTTGGCGCAGCTCGACGACTCGTACGGTTCGCTCGACACGATGCTGGCGAGTTCCAAGGACCTGCTGGGCACGCTGCTCCGCTCGAACAAGAGCGACACGTGGTACCTCCAGACGGCTCTTTACATGCTTATGGCGACGGGCGCGTGGCTGCTGTTCCGGAGGTTGCTGTACGGACCGATGTGGTGGCTGGTTTGGCTGCCGTTGCGTCTGGTATATAACCTCACCGTTGGTGGCGGCAGAGCGGTGGTCAAGTACGCCGGGTCCGGAAGCCCGTCAGAGGCCGTCGTGGTCAACGAGGGCAAAATTGACGTCGAGGGTTTGCCGGACGAGTCGTTGCCTACCATTGAAGTCGGACGGGAGCCGCAGCGATCGGCGGTCGGTGGAGATCCCGAGTCGCTGGTTGAGAAGGTGGGTAAGATTGTGGAGGAGATGCCGGCAGAGATCGGCGAGGAGACGATGGTAGACGAAGGCGAGCCGCTAGAGGGTGAGGCTATCGTTGACCAGGTGCCTGGCGACGAGCTGAAGCAAGGGGGGCAAGAGGAGATTAGGCAGCGAGACGAGCTCTGACTAAAGTCGTTAGACGACCAAATGTCGGGGGGCTGTTCTTGCGAAACGCCTTAGCGGTCTCGGTGAAAGAAGAAATATCATCAAATGCACAATGATCTTGATGTCCGGCACTCGTACGTTTGAGCCAGGATGCGACATGTTAGTAGCTGTAATGTTGAGAAGCCTAAACCTAGCGGTACCCCCGTTGCAAGCCTGGAGAGGCGGCATTTCTTTGTTTGTCAGGTATGGGGCATTCCAATCTAACGGCCATGCCGCGATGAGGAATCTGGTAATCATTATTTACGCATACTGGCTGGCGCATCTCGAAGCCTTACCCCAGCTCTAAAAGTTCGTCCCAATAAGCACCCTTTAGAGCTTATTTCGAGAAGCGCCGTTCTAGAAAGGAGGTTTGACATGGAAAGCCAGGTGTAAGTAGCCAATGACATGCTACGGTCAAGGAGCAGGGATGCGCCTTTCCTCTGCCACGTTCTCCAGTGCATTGAACTTGGGCGCCAGGGAGGAGCACAGAAAGGGCCGGAACGGTCTAGTGTTCGAACGGGGGAGGACGGCATGACGTTGTGAAATTTCCGTTCTCTGGGATTGAGCAACAGGGAGCAAAGTCGGACATGCCGTGGTTTTCGGTTTGGTGAGACTGATTTCCAAGTTACCAACAGATGTTGCCCTCGAGACTCGAGTATCTGTAGGCCGATGTTGTGATAAATATTCAAGGGTCCGGATATAATACGAGACAACCCGTAACAGAGTGCACACGACGACAAAAGGTGTATGGATAGCGTTGTCTCATTCGCTGCCAATTTCTCCGTAGGATGTAGATCAAAGATCGTTTAGTGAGTGATGTGGTTGCTGGGCATCTCGTATTCATGCAGAATGCGCTTCATACGAAATCCAACGAGGCGAAATGTATTTCTGGACTTGTTGGTTTCGTCCTCAATCTCACTGCAGCAGCTAGCAACGGCATTCGGTTTCTGGTAGTGAACGGTGTGTGTATCCATCCGCCTCAGCCCTCGAATGCCCGTATAAGTGGTTGACCTGACGGGTAACGGCATACGACGATGATCGGCTGTCGGTCGGGAATAGAGTAGACACAAATGAAGCCGGATGAACATGAGCTCGTTTGAACGGATATCCATCCCATCCTGTAAAGAGCCGTCACTAGGAGGTGCTTCGAAACGAACCTAGGTCACAGGGGGGAGGTTTCTCAGTGGACTGATGGATCTTCATGACCCGTCGCCGGTGTCGCTCCTTGACTACCTTGGGTTTTCAGTAGGTATTCACCATAGTTGGCCGTCCCACCGCCGAGAAGAAAACTCGGCGGCAGGTTGAGATTCGCTCAGGTTCCGATGTTCCGTTTCATCTAGTGTTCGTCTTAGAGGATTGGAATGGCCGTTCAGGTGCTAGCCGGCAGCGCATCTCAACCTTCCCAAGTACCCGATGGAGCGCTTGCGCAGTGGTATAGAGTGTGGCGCTCCAGCGCTTTGTCCGGTCGACAGGTCGACAGCGCTGGTCGTATGGCCCCTGAGACAAGGGCATGTGCCCTCGGCCAATGCCACGGTGCCATTTGCAAGGAATCCTGCATTACTCGAGGAGACGCGCCCAGGTCGTGTCACGCTGGTCGTTGAGGGTTCGTCCGTGAAAGTCGTCTGTTGTTTTATTTTCTTTTGCTGATGTTTCCCCTAGCCGCTTGGCTGTCAACACCGTCTGAACGTTTTTCTGCCTTTCTTGACTTCATAGGCACAAGCAAGCCTCTGCATCCATATTGCCGTGGTTGCATCGATAGCGTGCTGTATGGGTACAGGGCTCAAATTGAGGCGTCAATGCCTCGAATACTAAACACAATGTGTCAAATGGGGCCTTGTATCCGCGTGGTAGTGGTGGATTGGTGGTGGACGGAGGCTAAAGCCGTGGCGAGGTTCGATCGAGGGCCTCGACGAAATGCAGAGGGGAATACGAACAGACCACCAGACCAACGGCCCTCCACACTGATGTAATACCTCGCTGGCCTTGGACCCGGCACGTACTCTGGATGGAGACATTGCAAGGGACGAGACAGCTGACAATTGGCTCCCGTTACAAACAATGAGAGGAGATTCGAAGAGGCCCTGGCAATGCTGGCAGAGGGAGAGAGCAAAAAGTCAAAGTGCAATTTTAAAATTGGGATTAAACAGTTGGCCCGGGCCCACTTTGGCAGGCATGGCCTGCACCTCGTTCCTGGCCCGGGAGTATTTTCTCGCTCTTGCTTTCGCTTTCGAAGCGGACGGGAGGGAAGAAGGAACCTACCTGCCTAGGAAGTGGGCTCTCTCCCTCCTCCTTCCTAGAGGCTGCTGTACTCTGTACCTTAGGTTCCTGCCTTACCTCGAAAAGGCTACAAGTGCCTAACCTTGAGGCTATATGCGGTACGTACCTGCCTTAGGTCACGTCCTGACTTCAGTCCATGGCGCAAGTCCCAATCTTTCCCCAGACACGGCGCGATCCAATTCGATCGTCGACCTCCATCCAACCTTGCTTTGGGCTCCCCTTTTCGCTTGTGTTTGGCTTTTAAGTCCTTCCGCCCACATCAACAACAAGGGACGGGGGCAACCGGCTATGAGTCGAGTCACAAGTCACAAGCTCAACCCGAGAGGAGAATCAGGTCTTTTTGGCCGGCTTGGCTTCTGGTACATGGTGCTTCTCCGTATGTACTAGACCTGACAGATGTACTCTGCTCTCTCTTGGTTGTCGTCTCTTGCTAATACCTACGCAGCAAAACTTTCCAGGTCCTCGTTGAGCCCACACCCTGTCTACCCACCCCAGAATCCGCCCTTGCAAGTTGCGTGCAGACACAAGCGTGTTCCCGGCCCATCGACACACGAAGAAGATCAATGGGCCACACAACTTTGCAGCTGAAGAGGTGAAGGGGGTGGGTGGGCAGCGCAGGGAAGAGTCCACACTACCAAGGCTAATCATAGCATGGCACCTGGGGGCGCGCCTTGGCTTGTTACCCCGAGCGGGAAAAGGTCGACATTGGATCCAGAGATGGATTTTCGCGAGGAACACCACACACTATTAAACCCACCTCCAGTCCATCCACTCTGTTCCTGGTCTCCCTTCCTTTCCTCTCTCCCTCTCCAGCCTCTGCCATACACTCGTTGCTCGATCACTTGTTTCAAAACGCCTACATTCGCTGTTTGTGCCCGAATATCAACAACCTACACTATTCTTAATACACCCGTGTAACACCACAGACCAATCACCAGTCAAGATGCGTTTCACCTCCATCATCGTCACCGGCGCTTTCGCCGTCCTGGCCGCCGCCCAGTCTACCACCAGCACCGCCGCTTCCGCTGCCTCCTCCGCCCAGGCTGTCATCGAGAAGTGCTTGTCTGGCTGCCCCGCCACCGACGTCAGCTGCCAGGCCAAGTGTATCTCTGTACGTTTAGGAACCCAAAGACAGTGTCCGCCTGAAGAATTTGCAAGAAAGGACTAACACATCGTGCCCACAGGTCCCCAACCCCAACGAGGACCAGGTCAACAAGACCACAGCCTGCGTCGCCAAGTGTCCCCAGGGTGACGGGTCAGCAGACGAAACGGCAGCCTACGCGAAATGCACACAACAGTGCATTACTGATAACTACTTCAGCAGCGGCGCTACTCCCGCTGCCACCGCGGGCTCTGGATCCGGCTCCGGCTCGAGCGGCAGCGCGACTGCTGCCACCGCTACGGGTTCCGCCGCCACTGGCTCCGCCTCGGGCACTGCTACCCGCGCTTCCGGTTCATCTGCTGCCTCCGGCACCGAGGCTGCCTCCAGCTCATCATCTACCGCCAACGCTGCTCCCGCTCTTGCTGGCTCTGCTTCCTTCGGTATTGTCGGTCTCATCGGCGCTGCTCTCCTTATCTAAATACATTGGCTATTTGGATGATGAACATAAAAAAGGGGGATGAGAGGATGGGTTGAATGAATGTATGGATTCACGGAGAGGGGTATATACCATTTGGGAGATGATTGCTATATAATGTGGTCAATGATTTAATAGGCAGATTACAAGAATATGTGTTGATGTACTAGCGGACACCAACGTCTGCCAATTTTCAATATCACAATATCTTCCTCATACTTCGTGGGCCCTTCAACCTTGTGTTCTTTCTGTATAACATGCGGGTGCATGGATCGGGTTCAACGTAGGCTTAGTATGCCGGTGGCAGTAAATGCGCTGATTTTAATAGCAACATCTGTTTCATTGTGCAATGCGATTTGCTTTTTCACGGGTCGGGGTTGGTTTCGCACACGAGTGAGTTACCCCTATTACTTTGTTCCACATAGGGACATCACAAGACCCTTCCAATTGGGCGACACAATGGATTGCCGCCCAACACGAAGTATCTAGCTCTATTTCTATCCTTCCTATCGTTAACCCACCCATTATTATCATTATCACTTTCTATCTTTGCAATATTCTACATAGAATACATCTCAGGAAGTATGATATAGATATAATGATAATAATAGGAATGATAGGAATAGCAGTGGTAACAGGAATAGTAGAAAGAGTGATGGGAGGGTATTGAGCGGCATCCCATTTTGTCACCCACTTGCCTTCGTCATAAGATCCGATTTCTTCGGCTAATCTTCTTTTCAGGACCTGGTAGGAACAGTCACTGGAATGTCGCTGATCCAGGGAACGCCCAACTGTTTCATCTCAACGGCCAATTGGAAAAGATAGTCCAAGCTGCGCAACGTCCTCGTTAGCATATCTCCACGCTTTTCTCTGTGAGACAACAGGTAGGTATGAGGGAAAATCAGGAACAAGGGATGGGAGGGGGGAGGGGGGGAAGAGGAATGTTTTCCAAGATGGAGAGAGCGGGTAGGGGTATTTCCCGCCGCCTTTCTTCTGCAACGAGAAGAGAGATATCATAATCTCTCTCGCGGAGAGACTCAAACTCGAACTCACCTCTCACACTGCGTCTTGGCCTTGTGGACGTTATCCCCCCAAACGTAGACGCCGTGCCTCCGCACCAGCACGGCGTAGGTATCGGGATACTTATCCATGGCCTCCTCCAAAAACTCGGTCAGGTCCTCCTCGTGAGCCGTGTTCTCGATGACGGGAATCCGGAGGGTGTCGTGGTACCCGAGGTTCCCTTGCTTCTGGAACCCCTTTCCGAAGCCCTTGATCTGTTCGATATTGTTGATCTCGAACAGCTTATTGTTGTTGCCGGGACCACGGCTCTCGAGAATCAGGGTGACGAGGACGGCCCAGTGGGAGTGCGTGTGGATGCAGCAGCCGGCGCCGCGGCGGGTGAAGGCGGCGAGGAAGAGAGGGGTGCACTGGGAGGGCTTGTAGGCGGGCGGGGAGCGGAGGTAGACGCGGTTCTTGAGGGATGCTTCTTGGGCGGCGAGGGAGAGGACGTAGATGTCCTGAGGCTTCATGAGTTCTTTTTGGACGCCTGAGGGGGCGAGGTAGACGAGGTCGCTGGGAGGGTGTAAGTGAGAGTCATGGTTTTCTTTCTGTGATTTTTGTTCACAGCGTGTGAGAGGTGAAGTTTGTGAGTCGAGGGGGAAAAGAGGATGTTTGCCTTCTTCGTATGAGAAAAAAGGAAGCAAATGGTGGTTATTCAAATGAGGTGCTCTGTAGCTTTTGCTTTTGGGCAAACACAGCTCATTTTTAGAAATACAATTATGAGATGTAGAGACTTACTCATCCCGGATGGAGCAGCCACCGCCGGTGCCGGTGACCCAGCCTAGTGTCCAGAACTTTGCGCATAGGGAGGGAATGAGATTCGCAGGGTGGTTTGGGTCGTTTGAGGTGACGAGCTGGTCGGGGTTCTCAATCTCAGTTGTGGACGCCATGGTGGGCTGGCTTCTGAGATGAGTTTCGCGGGGTAAAGATGGGTAGTGAACGGGGGTTTGTCGAAGTCCGAGACTGTTTTATTCTTGATTTGGCTCCCGCTAGAACATGTAGACGGTAGTGAAGAACACGAGAGTTCGTAGTTTAGAAAAACAGGAATACGTCTCGAGTATCCAGGAATTTTTGAGCTCACGAAGCGATAGGTTCACTCAGTAAAACCAAGTTTCTCAGTCACAGGAGTCGGGAAATTTTCTCACCAGCCACACGAGCATGAGGCTGAGGTTAGAGCTGAGCCAGTGGCAGCTGTTGGATTCTCCACATGGCAAGCACGCAAAGGCATGGAACGCTCCTCCACACCAAAGACTCGAGTTACCCTTACGGATACAAGACAGTGACAAGAGGCTCTTGCGATTGGTCAATCCGCGCCATCTCGCAGCTGGGCTCTCTCAACTCGGGTCCATCGGCAGCCCCAAACAGATGGGCGCTTCTCGAGCTCCAGGTCATAGCTGGTAAATGCGACGGCGGCAGTTTGCTACCAAGCCACATAGTTACGGACACGGGTACACAGATTGGCCAAAAAGAAAAAGGAGACGGATACCAGCAGGTGGTGCTAGAAGAGATGATGAGACAAACTGGTGAAGAATTGGGAGCTAGTCCGGTCACTGGTTGAGGCTGATTAGGCGTCCTGCAGGTGATGCGAGGGAAAAAAGAGGACACCTAGCCTTTTTTGAAGACGGTCGAACGCCCAAGTTTCTATTTATCCCGTTGAGTGGGGAGCCTTACTCAGGAGGAAGGAGAAGCTTTCGTGAGATATTAGGACAAATTACAAGCCTGACTCCTGTCATATTAAATCAGCAAACCCGCCTACCCGAAACGGACGTCTTTTGATCAATGGAGCCAGTGAAACTCAGCCGAGATCGCTTTGTACCAGTGTCAATCAGACGGTTGGCTTGGACCGAGGTATATCTGTGCATTTCGCAGTCTTGTCTGCTCAATGCGCACCCAATGAGTGGTATTGCTGTCCTGGTCTACCTACGGAGTACTGTACATAGTATCAGTAGAGCAATGAATGGCAAGGGCAACTCCAACGGCGTGGCACTGATGCAGTCAATCTCAAGACATTTTGGGATCAGCCGCCAACCTCAGATGCTAGCCTCGATTGAATCGCAATACAGTAGAGTGCATGTTTCCTGAGAGCAATAACCCAACGCTGTTTTTCTTCCACCACCTCGCGCCAGACAGCAACCCAGTTAAGGGCGGAAGTGCTCAGTCCATCAACCGGGATCAGCAATTGAGACTTTGGAAGCTCGTCGAAGCAGCATGAATATCCCCCCCCTCCTTCCCTTCACTGTTAGAACCGGTGGATACCGTTCCCTCGCCAAGGGCCCCCGCACTTTCCTAGCCACAGTCCGCAGCCCGCATGTCATTGTCAGCAAAAGGAAGCCCACTGAAAAAGGTACCGCAGCGGCTTTGCATTGGCTACACCGGGCTGCGGTGGGCAGCGGCGTGCTACCCCGACGACCCCTGAAGCTAGGTAGCGGACGCATGCTACGGCAACTGCTCTCGCTGCTGGTCCCCCCGAAAATTCTCCAATTTTCTGTCAATCTGATTGGCTCAGAGTCTCTGCCTTGCCGAACCTTACCCCGACGGGCCACAACTTAGTGAGCTCTCCCCTACCTGGCCTTTTTTTGGCTGCTGCTTTTGGTCGCTGAGGTTTTGCTGGGGACCTTTACCGCAAAAAAAGGACACGTTGAGCACAACCCGCTTGCGCGTCTGCCTCACGGACTGATAAATCCGTCGTCTTCCTCTCCCCATTCCTCCTTCCGAAACTCTTTTCCCTCTCCTTGGGAAACTCCTCCTCGAAAATACCAATCCTCTCCATCCATCGTGTCGGGAGCCCTTTCTACCCCTTTGTCATTCAATTGACAATCCTTCTCTTACAACCCAACAGCTTTAACGCTACTTACCCCCCCCCTCATACACCTGAATCCGATTGAAGCCGAGACACCGACACCACACTCTCGCCCATCATGAAGTTCAACGCTGCTGCGTTGTCCGCCGCGGCCTTGTTCGCTGGCGCCTACGCCGACGATGCTCAGAAGGTCCTCAGTGAGGATAAGACCTCCACTGCCGCTGAGTCCTCTACCTCGGTCACTCCCCAGCTGTCCACCTTCAAGGTAAGCTCTCCTCTTCTCCTTGCCAATGGCTTTCTTTGTTGCTCCGAGTGAAGCACCCCCTCACTGTTCATTCGCTGCAATCTCAAGCCTAACGCATGAGCTCAATGCGCAATGGGAACGAGCTGGGTCACTCTTTGGAGCTTCTCCGCACCTGCTCTGTCGGCCATAAAATAAGCAATTATCTGACAACGGGGTTTTTTATTCTGCAGCCCACCACCCTGAAGGCTCCTTTCTTGGAGCAGTTCACCGACGACTGGGAGACCCGCTGGAGCCCTTCTCACGCCAAGAAGGACTCCAAGGATGACGAGGAATGGGCCTACGTTGGCGAGTGGTCTGTCGAGGAGCCTACCGTCTACAAGGGCATGGAGGGCGACAAGGGTCTTGTTGTCAAGAACCCCGCCGCTCACCACGCCATCTCGGCCAAGTTCCCTAAGAAGATTGACAACAAGGGCAAGACCCTCGTTGTTCAGTATGAAGTCAAGCTTCAGAGTAAGTTTCCAGTCCCTGCGCTCATACCACAGCCTCATGACAGAATGCTGACAATCGTTCCTTCTCAGACGGTCTTGAGTGCGGTGGCGCCTACCTCAAGCTTCTCCGTGAGAACAAGGCTCTTCACTCCGAGGAGTTCTCGAACGCCACTCCCTATGTGATCATGTTCGGTCCCGATAAGTGCGGCCACACCAACAAGGTTCACTTCATCTTCAACCACAAGAACCCCAAGACTGGTGACTACGAGGAGAAGCACCTTACCTCTCCCCCCACCGCTCGCATTGTCAAGACTACCGAGCTCTACACTCTCATTGTTCACCCCAACAACACCTTCATCATCCAGCAGAACGGCGAGCAGGTCAAGACCGGCTCCCTTCTCGAGGACTTCTCCCCCGCCGTCAACCCTGAGAAGGAGATTGACGATGCCAAGGACTCCAAGCCTGAGGACTGGGTTGATGAGGCCCGTATCGCCGACCCCGAGGCCAAGAAGCCTGAGGACTGGGATGAGGACGCCCCTTACGAGATTGTCGACGAGGAGGCCACCAAGCCCGAGGACTGGCTCGAGGATGAGGCTCAGACCATCCCTGACCCCGAGGCCCAGAAGCCTGAGGACTGGGACGATGAGGAGGATGGTGACTGGGTCGCCCCTACCGTTCCCAACCCCAAGTGCACCGAGGCTTCTGGCTGTGGCCCCTGGACCAAGCCCTTGAAGAAGAACCCTGACTACAAGGGCAAGTGGACCGCTCCCTACATCGACAACCCCGCCTACAAGGGCGTCTGGGCTCCCCGCAAGATCAAGAACCCCGACTACTTCGAGGACAAGACCCCCGCCAACTTCGAGCCCATGGGCGCTGTAAGTATTCCCGATAATGTACGCGTGTCTCTTCTACTGCTAACGAATGAATCAACAGATTGGCTTCGAGATCTGGACCATGCAGAGCGACATCCTCTTCGACAACATCTACATTGGCCACTCCGTTGAGGATGCCGCCAAGCTTGCTGAGGAGTCCTTCAAGGAGAAGCACCCCATTGAGCAGCTCGCTGAGCTTGCCGACAAGCCCAAGGAAGCCGAGAAGCCCAAGTCCCCCAACGACCTCAAGTTCCTTGACGACCCCGTTCACTTCATCAAGGAGAAGCTTGATCTCTTCATCACCATTGCCCAGAAGGACCCCATCCAGGCCGTCAAGTTCGTCCCCGAGGTTGCTGGCGGTATCGGTGCCCTTCTCGTCACTCTCATTGCCATCATTGTCGGCATTGCCAGCTCCGGTGGTGCTCCTCCCGCTGCCCAGAAGGCTGCGGCTGATGCCAAGGACAAGGCGAAGGAGGTCAAGGACAAGGCCGCCAAGGCTGTTGCCTCTGGCGCCGACGTCGCGAAGGACGCTACCAAGCGCAACACCCGCAGCTCGTCTTAGATGGGAATGGTTCTTGCGATGGAATTGTGAATTAGTTTGCTTTCTCTTTGATATCGTCGCCGGGAGAAGGCCAGCGGCCTAAAAGTATCGTGCTTTTAAGATGGCACAAGGGGTGATATCAGGAACCGAAGAGAAACATGGATGCTGCTTTTTTCAGTTTAACTCCCTCATTCTATGCCTGTTTTTGGTCATCGAGGGACAGACAAAGAGCATGGCGTAGGTGTATTCTAGCTACCAAAAAAAAAACAAGGGATTTGATCAACACGCGATGTCGGAGTCTGAATGTGATGCGATGCAAACTTAGACGTCAAAATGAAATGTCATCGTGTCCGGGTCCATCCCATCATCTTGAGATAAGGTAATCAGCTCCGCGGTCAAATGTGGCCCCCCCGGTGTTCCGCTATGAAGGTCTCAGATCCACCAGCCGCTTCTCCGCCGCATAGGATGATACGCTGTTTACGCCGTTTACGCCGGCGGAGAGCGCCCACCAGACGCTTGTCGCACCAAAAGCACGGCTCCCTCTCGGCATAAGGCGGCATTGGGGCCGGCTTCGGCTGGAGGAGCCAACTGGGAGCTTTGGGGGAAAGTGGGCAGGGATTCAGTGGCAGCCACGGCAGCGTTATCTTACCCCACCCCAACCTTTCCCCACACTCTGGGAGCTCGCCGAGTTCCCTGGGACTTTATAAGGGACTACGATGTCGCTCGACTCCGGTTCCCGCGTCTCCTGTGAAAGAAGTGGCTGGCAATTGGCTTGAGACGAACGATCCAAGACGACGGAACGGACAGTTTGTTGTTCTTGCAGTGTGTAGCACTATCTGTTTCTAGTTTACCCAATCGTTGCCTCTCGTCAGAGACCTCTCTCCCATACCCTTCGTCCTCCTCTTCTCCCCTCTTCTCCCTTTTCCCTCTTCTTTCACAATGCGTCGAGCATTTACTCGAAGCATTACTACCGGTGCTGGCCGAACCTCTAGAGCATCCCTCACCCGCTCACCACTTCTCTTCTCAAAGCCTACCATCATGGCCTCCTCCGGCTCGCCCACCTCCGCCGTTGCGGCGAGGAGGATACACGCCACGGCGAAGCACCTCAATGCCGCCCTGGACTCGACGGCCGAGTCCTACCCCAACACCCACGAGAAGATTGCCAAGCCAGAGGATACCCCCTTCTTCCTGGACAACAAGTTCATGACCTCGGCCGCGACCGACTTCATCGACCTCCACGACCCGGCCACCAACAACCTCGTCACCCGCGTGCCGCAGATGACCACCGAGGAGCTGCAGGCCGCTGTTGACTCTGCTGAGAAGGCCTTCCCCAAGTGGCGCGCCATGAGCGTGCTCGCCCGCCAGCAGATCATGTTCAAGTTCGTCGCCCTCATCCGCGAGAACTGGGACCGTCTGGCGGCGAGCATCACCCTCGAGCAGGGCAAGACGTTTGCCGACGCCAGGGGTGATGTCCTCCGTGGTCTGCAGGTTGCCGAGGCAGCCTGCGGCGCACCTGAGCTCTTGAAGGGCGAGGTGTTGGAGGTGGCCAAGGATATGGAGACGAGAAGCTACCGCGAGCCATTGGGCGTCGTGTCTGCCATCTGCCCCTTTAGTAAGTGAACCCGATATGATTTTCTTTGTTGGAAAGACGAAGGAGAAAGAATTGAAGCTAACAAGGGTCTAGACTTCCCCGCCATGATTCCCCTTTGGTGCATCCCCATCGCGACCGTCACTGGCAACACCCTCATCCTGAAGCCCTCGGAGCGTGACCCCGGCGCGGCCATGATCCTCGCCGAGCTCGTCCAAAAGGCCGGCTTCCCCGAGGGCGTCGTCAACGTCGTCCACGGCGCCCACAAGACGGTCGACTTCATCCTCGAGGACCCCGTCATCAAGGCCGTCAGCTTCGTCGGTGGCAACAAGGCCGGCGAGTACATCTTTAACAAGGGCTCCGCCCACGGCAAGCGCGTCCAGGCCAACCTCGGCGCAAAGAACCACGCCGCCGTTCTGCCGGACTGCAACAAGAACCACTTCCTCAACAGCGTCGTCGGTGCGGCCTTTGGCGCCGCCGGTCAGCGCTGCATGGCCCTCAGCACCCTCGTCCTCGTCGGCGAGACAAAGGAGTGGCTCCCCGAGCTGGCCGAGCTGGCCAAGAAGCTCAAGGTCGACGGCGGCTTCGAGGCCGGCGCCGACCTCGGCCCCGTCATCTCCCCGCAGAGCAAGCAGCGCATCGAGAGCCTGATCCAGAGCGCCGAGGACGAGGGCGCGACCATCCTCCTCGACGGCCGCGGGTACAAGCCCGCCAAATACCCCAACGGCAACTGGGTCGCGCCCACCATCATCACCAACGTGACGCCCGAGATGAAGTGCTACACGGAGGAGATTTTCGGTCCCGTCCTGGTGTGCCTCAACGTCGCGACGCTCGACGACGCCGTCGCGCTGATCAACAAGAACGAGTACGGCAACGGCACGGCCATCTTCACCCGCTCCGGCGCCACGGCCGAGGCCTTCCGCCGCAACATTGAGGCCGGCCAGGTCGGTATCAACGTGCCCATCCCCGTTCCTCTGCCCATGTTCTCCTTCACTGGCAACAAGAAGAGTGTTGCCGCGGGCGGTGCCAACACGTTTTACGGACGTCCCGGCATCTCCTTTTTGACGCAGCAGAAGACGGTCACGTCCTTCTGGGCGTCTGCCGATGCGATTTCGCAAAAGGCTGATGTGTCGATGCCTACCCAGTCATGATTCTGTGTGTTAAGGTGAGGAGGGAGTGGCGGGGGCTGTGCGTATAAGCTCTGGAGCTAGGCAACGTAAAATGGGTTGCGAAGGATGATGTTATTGAGCACGTACCGGGATGAGTACTATGATTTCATGAGGAAGCAGTGGCTAGTTGAAAACATGGCATGGCAAAAAATGACAAGAATGCAGAGGAAGTCGAGTGGAAAAGCCACATACAAAAAAAAAACCAAAAAAACAATTAAACGAATTTTCAAACAGATACCACCATGGTTCGCACTCATATATGTATGACATGATCCTTGATGAGACTAGAACATGCTTGGGCCGCTCTCTCAACTCTTCCCTGCCTAGGGTCCATTGCTGCCCACCATTGTGCTCACCTCGTCACAGCACACTTACACGGCTTCGGGGTCGGATCATGGAAGCGACTACCTACACAGACATATCTCAACGTAACTCTGCTGACTCCAAGTCACGGTGATATCTCTCGGAGCCTCCCTTTCTTAATCGTAGTAGGTATGATTTAGGAAACGCCTCGTCCGTTATTCTCCCTATCTAAGCTCTCATCCAGAATGGGCACCCTGTCAGCGTCCACGTCCGGTTGCTTCTCAGTGACTCCATTTCCGTTCATTGGTACATATTAGCTCCCAAAGTAAAGCTATGGATGAATATACTGTCAACGAGTGGTTTTCTTTCCCCCCGAGGTTTTCCAAGGACATTGACGAGGAAGCTCCTTTTACGATTTCGTAGTAGGTGCTTGGTGGTGTCACAAGAATAAATCGATTGATAAGGTAAGCTGGATGAACCGGAAAGGAGTAGGGCGGTTTTTTTTTTTTTTTTTTTTTTTTTTGAATATCTCTCAAGCAAGCACCTAGATAGCTTCACAAGTGAGTAGATTCAGAAGAACAAGGAGTGATTTTCATTTTCATAAACCGAGATCCTTGAGCTTACTCACCAAAAGGGTAAGTCGGCTCCTATTTCAGCCCCCCTACTTTTTTTTTTCCATTTTGCAACTCAACTTTCTCAAAATAGCTATCAAAAAAAAGTAACTTAGGTATCATGGTAATCCCTCCCAGAGTAGTGTATATTGAAAATTTTCCAAAGGAGTGTCTTTTCGTTCCATTTCGTTTCCGTACGTGATGTCTCTTTTTGATAGGGGTTTTTTTTCCCTTTTTTCAGTTTTCATGAGAGAAATGAGAGAGAGTAAGAGAGAAAGATAAATTATGTTCAGTAAAGAACCTTCAAGAAGTTTCCATAACAAAAAAATCCCCGGTTTCCTATCCTTTCCCTCCCCCCCCTGTTGTAATAAGAAAAGAAAAAAAAAGGGAGGAAAGTCATATACCCGGCGTCAGGTAAAGGGGGGAGGGAGAATCTGATTTCAAGGATGTAACAAATGCCGCTATCCAGATGACTTATGCAAGAGAAAAAAGAGACGAGAGAGAGAGAGAGAGAGAGAGAGAGAGAGAGAGAGACGGTCAAGGTTCTCGGAGTACCCGAAGAAGAGCTCGACCTTCTCAAAGAAATTCGGAAAAAGAGGCAAAGAGTGTACCAATGACGATCCTTTCATAAGAAAATCATAAGAAAAAAGAGTCCCCGAGGCAATGTTGCTCGCTTGCTCGCTTGAAGTGAAGATGAAAGCAGAAAAAAGCAGACTCGAAATAAACGCAAGTCATTATTGGATGTTGGGTGCTTTTCTTCCCTTCTTCTTTTGTTTTGGCTTTTTGAGAGCGGTATTCATGACGGGGGCGAGGCTAGATCATGTTACCATTAACACTGACCTCGAACCCGTCCCCCTTCTGCTTCAGCGCCTTGGCAAGCATCAGCTCGCGCATCCAATCGATCCGGTCATCGCGGTTCTTGACAGCAAAATGATGCGTCTTGCCCGTGCCGTTCGCGCCCTCGGCGGGGATCGACCCAGAACTCGAAGAGTGCCCGTGCCCGAAACCATGCAGCGCGCTCCCGCGCTTCCTCAGCTTCGCGCCCGCGGACTCCTTGTCTTTATCCTGGGGGATGAGCTGGAAGCTAAACGCCGCGACGGGGTCGCTCTTGTCGCGGCTGTGCGACGACGAGAACTGCACGGCCTTGAAGGCGGCGGTGAGCTTGCTCTGCGACGCGAGGCTGGAGCACGCGATGGCGTAGTCGTCGACGTCGACGTACTCGAGCGTGCGGTCGACTGTTTTGGCGTCCTTGTGGACGGCGAGGCGGGTGCCTTTGAGGGTGCAAAAGGTGTCGTTCCACTCGTGGCGGAGCATCTTGGTCTTGCGCTTCTTCATGGGGCCTTGGAAGGTTACGCCGTCCTGCTGGGCTGCCGAGGCGGCCTGTTTGACGGGGAGGGCGGCGGCGAGGTGGGAGATTGGGGGGATGGCTTGTTCAAAGGGGGTTGTGCGCTCGGTGGGGGACCAAGGGTAGTTTACGCGGGGCGGGGCTTGGAGAGGTTGTTGTTGTTGTTGTGTCTGGAGGGGTTGAGGGCGGACGGAGGTGCGTGGGGAGGTGTGTCTGGGGGATGTGCGGGCGATGGGGGTCGCGGAGTTCTCGTTGAGGGCTGGAAGGACGGGGAACGAGGGGCGGCGGGCGGAGGAGCGGGATTGGGTGCGGGAAAGGGGCGGCTGCTGCTGCTGCTGCTGCTTGGTGATGCCGGCGCGGTAGTTCATCTCGGGTGGGACGGACTGGGAGACATCGCGGGCGATGCGGTCCATCGGCACGGCGGTGACGGGGACGTCCATCTCGGAGAAGGGGGTGCCGAAGCGGTAGGGGTTGTTGACGGGGCTCTGCAGGTCCGGGGACATGGCCTCGGCCCGGTCCATGTGGTAGGGGACGAAGCCTTGCGGCTGCTGTTGCTGGTAGGGAGGTGTCGGGAGAGGCTCCGGGTGGGAGGAAGGGGGAGGGACCGTGGAGGCGCGGAGGGGGCTTGCGCGAGGAGCTTGCGCGCCGGGGATGGAGAGCTTCGGGAGGTGACGGAGGCGTTCGGGCTGGGCCTTCATGGAGGGGAAGCCCATCTCGAAGGGGGGTGTCGGGGGCACCGTGGTATCCTCATGCTTCTGGAAGTCGAGGAACTGGCGCACATTATCCTGGGGATCTCTCGCAACGACGTTGCGGAGAGCAGCCTCCTGGAGATACTGCAGCGGCGTGGCGTTGCCGGGTCCCAGCACATCGGAGGAAGCCACCACGGACGGGACGGCGTCCGAGACGGGCCTGAGGATCTGCGTGGGGTCGAGGGCCCTGGCCGTGTGCGGGTTGCCTGGGTTCCCGGTGATGACGACCTGTTCCGTCTCGAGGTCGACAAAAGGGTGCTCCTTCTTGAAGGCCTCGATGAGGCGCTGCTGTTTCCTCCACTTTGAGCAGTTCTCGCCCTTGGGGCACTGATGCGGCTTGGGGACGACCTGCTCGATGCCGACGATGGACACGGACTCCATGGGGGTGATGATGTCGTCGTGCGACGGCTTCTTGGGCCGCCTCCTGCTGCTCTTGCTCCTCTTCATCCCGCAGTCGTCCGCCTGCTGCCTGTCCGCCGCCCGGACCTCGCGGGTCTCCTTCTTGACTTCGCGGCTCGGCTCGTCCTGGATCGGCGTCGGGGCGCGGGGCGAGCTGGGTCTGCTGTCGCGCAAGACCTGAATCTGGTTCCACACGCGCGTCCTCATGCCGAATGAGGGAATGTCCAACTCCTTCAGGTCCTCAAACTTCAACGTGATTAGGATGGGTCCGTTGATGTCGTTCTCCACGAAACGGCCGGCGACCGAGAGCTCAATGCCAGCATTGAGCATCGACTGCGCAACCATCTCTGGCGTCCACGAGACGAGCTCTCTTGACTCCAACTCTTCGTACGTGAACTGGAAGGGGCCGCTCTGGTGTCTGGATGCGGGCATCGGCGGCTGCTGCGGTCTGATGTGTCTAAAGGGCTCGTCAAAGGGCCGCGCCGTCTTGGGTGTCACCGGGGACAGCGTCAGGATGGCCTCGTCAAAGTAGCTGGCGGTGGAAGTGCGGAACAGGTGCGGGCCAGAAGGACCCTCAGTGTTCTTGTTTGGTGATTCCATCATTTCCGTCGCATACATCATCCGCCCTTGACTCGACCTTGGCGTCTGCACCTCATCGTAGGATGAGAGTGTTGTGATACTTGGCTGGCCGCCAGACTTTTTTGCGCCCACATACGTTAGCTATAGCCGTTCTCGCCAGGCCACTGCGTTTCCAATAGATAACTTACCGAGTTGACACTGATCCGTGGAGAATTGTCTTCAAACTCGCTGAGCACGTCGTCGTCCCATTCCATGTCCATGAACTCGGTCGCCACCGAGGTTGGCCTCTGCGGCTCGGCCTTGATGCCAAAGAATGTGTCGCGCATGGGAACCTTTTCGCGCATCTCATGGCGCAGGCGACGCTCGCCCCTTTCATATTCTTGTGTGTAGTTCTAGCGGCGCAAAGTCAGCCTCAACAGCCACACACAGCGTCGCGAGCCTCATTTTGATTATCATTCTCAACTCACCATTTTGTATATGTGTGTAAGTGGTTATTCCCAGATACGGAAAGTGCGTTGGAGGAATGTTCAAGAGGGCGTGGACTGGCTATTATCTGACTTGCAGTCTACAGCACAGGACAGCCTCCTCCGTGGGGGGGATTTGATACCCTTTTCTCTTTGCTTTTTTTTCTTTTCTTCTTTTCCTGTAAAGCTGGAAATCGAGGGGCGGGGGGAGAAGCCGTTGCCGGCAGCACTCTGTTCTATGAAGCCTGTGAATACTTTGGGGGATAGCGGCACGCAGTGCAAGCTATGAGGGGTTTGAATACGCCTCGGGGCTAGGAAACAAGACCAGCGAAAAGGAGATGCCTAAAGGAAAAATAAGGGGATATGAGGTCCAGCAGAGCCGAATATGCTCGTTTGGTATGTAACGGGTCGCAAAAGAGAAGAAGGAGGGGATCCGGTACAAGGCGGGCGCCTACCGCGAGTTATGTATGTCTAGTGTGTCCATGCACGGCGGAGCAGTGTAGGGATGCGAAAGACTAGGGGGGTGGTTGAGGAGGAGGAGGGAAGCATGGTGGTTGAGAAAGTCGGATCACAGCACATACGCAGCAGCAGCAGAAGCACGCACAGCTATCCCATCACCCATGCCATGTTCTCGTCCCCAATATGCATGCTGGTTCTGGTGTGATTCGACCCGTGGCACTTGCACACGGCGCCGATGGTGGCACTGTGAACAGACCAGTCGAGTTGTATAATAATAGCCCGGGTGGTGTGTGGGCAGGTTTAGGTATCTAGGTTCTGGGTTCTGGGTTCTGGGTTGGAGAGACGGCAGAGGTAGTAGAGTGCGCTTGCGTGTACGTATGTGTGTGTGTGTGTGTGTGTGTGTGTGTGTGTGTGTGGCCGAGCGGGCAAAGGCCCAGCCCATGGACCATTCATTGAACCCTGAACAATGGGGTCCTAGTCGACGATACCGGCGTCGACAGTTGTTAGGGTGAAGATGGGAGAGAGAGGCATAGGTAGGTACTCCGTACGGAGAGAGAAGGGAACGCTTCGAAAGGCTGGTGGTTCCCCGGCCAAAGGGGGTGTGTAGCCGGGCAGCCATCCATGTGGATAGCGGTGCACAACCGGCAGCAAGCACTTTGCACTTGCAGCGAAGCACCACGCAGGACAGGACGCGGCATGTAGGTACTCCGTCCGTTCCCCCTCCCCAGCACAGGCAACTGGCCAGGCACAGGGCAGCACAGCAGCAAGAGCAGCAGCAGCAGCGGGCGGAAGCTGTACTTGTACGGCGGTTAAGGTAGTCAAAAGTCGAACCGGCGTGGGGAAAGCGTAGTAGTCAGTACCTACTCAGCAACGAACCTCGTCTGTGAGGATGTGTGAAGTGGGTGGAATGAGGGTCTAGACGGCGCAAAGGTCGGGAAAAATCTATTCCTGATTGGCCGGGGACGGGAAAAGAAGCTCGTGCATAGCAGCGCCAGCCGACGGCTAACGAAAGCAAAGACGGCGCTGGAGTTTCCCATTGGCCATAAATCACAAGAAACAAAATGTCGTGGGACGTTATTTTAGGGAACGCTAATACGCCATTGGCCAGAAAGTCGGGATAACAGGATACATGATACTTACGATACCCCCCGGTTTGCCGCTACGGCGGCGTTTAAGCGCCCGTCTTTTGTCAACCTGGCGGGCCACTCGTTGTTCGCTTGTCGTCTGAATAAGTGGGTACCTATCAACGACCCCCCCCCGGGCCGCCGGCCGTCAACGGCGTGGAAGCAAAAAAGGGAAAGGCAGGAGACTAAGGTAAACGGAAAGAGGGGAACCGGGGTGTGTGCTGCCAGTACTGCGTATGTGTGGCAGTGGCACACATCCGCCGGGATGAGACCTCGCCATCCTCTCTCTCTCTCTCTCTGTCTCTGTCTCTGTCTCTGTACCCGTACAGATACGTCTCTCACCTCACCTCACCTCAATGTCTCCTTTCACACCTTTTTTATTATTTTAAAGAGTCGTCTACACACTCCACAGACAGTCCACACACCCGATTGCGCATCCACGTTCAATCCTCGTTCGGTCCACCGCCCGCAACATGGCTCTTGGGTTCCCTCGAGCTCGACTCTTCTGGCCCATGGCCCCCACCCATTCGAGCTAAAAAATCCCACCATGCCCTGTCCATCACCTGCAAGGATACACTGACAAGGACCAGGGGCAGAATGAGCAGCTTCCGGCACACATACCTCTCCCCGTCTGAGGTCAGGTCTCTCTTTTTCCTGATGACCTCGCACCGCAAGCCGCATACCAAAAGCAACGAAAAAAAGCTGCACTGCACGCTGTACGCTGCACGCTCTTCTCAACCCGCCCGCCCGTCCGCTCGTGGCTCGCTAGTGTGCCAGCTTACATAGGTACTGTCATGGACACAACCAGCCCACGACTTAGCTATCCATTGCCATGCCATGGTAGTCTCCCACACTGCTTCGCACCCTCTTTGCACCATTCGCGGCCTTGCAGAACCCCCCCCCAAATACGCCGCCGCCCACCGCCTGCTGTTCGCGGCCTTTGTCTTTGCCACCACCATCACTTATCGTACCTGTCATCACATTCCAATCTTATCAAGTCTCTTTTTCTTTCCCCAGAATCAACCTAAGCCCAGCACCACACACAGACAAGTGAGGCATGTGGATCAAGACAAGAACAAGCCATGTGAGCGGCCCTGCCCAATCCCGCAATGGCCATCCTCTCAACGGCCACCCGAATCCTTCTGGCTGGGAAACTTTCCCAAGAATGCAATGCCCCGTATAATTCCTGCATCATGCGGCTTTTCTTGCATAGCGGGAGCAATCATGGACACACCGGTGACCGGCCAACTACTTGACCGTTCATCAATGAGAGAGAAAGAGAGGCCCAAAAAGAAAAGAAGGGTGAAAATACAGCCATTTACACCCCCCTCTCCCCCCGTTTCTGCCTCTTCAACGTTGCACCCTCGGCTACCTACAGCCCACCGCACACCTCCGATCCCGACGAGTCTCGAATGCCCATGGCCAAGGGCCAGGACCCCACCCCTCACGATCAACTGACTTCCCCTCACTGGCCTTCTCAGCCACTCACTTTGCCCGTCGGGCCTCCATCGGAGAAATCCCCATCAAACCGAGACTACCATTCCGTCCGGGGGTGTTCAACGAGGCCAATGGCCTTGCGAGAAGCCTCTTTTACGAAAAGGTCCCCAGTATGAGGCGAGATTTTTCATCTTCCTCTTAGAATTGGCCCTCTTTGGTCACTGTAACTGACATGGGATGGTTCGGGTCTCAATGGCACGAATGGGTCCTGTCATGACCCAAGACGAGCTTCCTTCGCCCTTGTTGGCCCGTTGCGCTTTCTCATCCTCCACCTGCCGTGTCACTGTCGGCGCAGTCCGTGGATCGCTTATCATTAGTCTCGCCTTGCCCTCAGCTCGCAAAACCAAACACTCCTCTGGATACTTGCTTACCGCCCAATCGCTCCGTTGCGATAGCGGACAACGTGACCAGGCAAAGGCTGTAGCTGTGGCACATGACCTGCGCAACTGGCTCACCGTTGCTGCCAGGCAAATTTGATAGAGGCAAAGAAATCTCTCAACAGTCAATGAATCCCCAGTCACTTATCCACGTATGACTTCATACTCACAAGCCCTGCAGATGGCGGTCAAAAGTGTGACGAGAGGACATGGTTGATGCAGCAGCAGCAGCAGGTCTCTTGGGCTTTCGCATTCGTATGTATGCACCTGTCGCTAGCCTCCATAGCTCGATGCCGTGGAATGAGAATTCTTGGCCTTGTTTGCTGGATGAGAATCCAGTGAGCGATACCTATCCCGAAGGGGAGGAGAGAGAGGGGGCTGGCGGGAAGTGCTCTTGATAGGTAGACGACGGTGGACGGTCTGAAGATGGTGGTACGACAAGACATCGGTAGCCAGCTTTGTTACCCCGCAGAGCCGTTGAGACAAATATGCGATATATGCCATGTCCAAAATATGGGTGCTGCCACACTTTTGTAGGTTGACGGATTGGGATGCGGTGATATCTGATAGAGCTGCAGTATCGGACCTTGCAGGATTTGGGAAGCTGACACCATCTCTCTGGTCTCTACGGATACTGGATCTGAGTTTACGAATCGGATTGACCCAAAAGCACATCTGCTTCGAGCGCAGATGTTGACATCGGAACAGTGAGAAAAAAAATCCGCGAGTTGCCATTGCCATCATGGCGGCAGCCGATTCTGGTCCCAGAGAATCCAGCCCCCCTTCCCGGCTAGCAATCATACAGTCGCGCAACATTCACTTCTGTGTATCGGTGTCGGTGAAGCATCGCACATCTCCACATGTAAGGGAGCAAGAATGCGCTTCGAGAAACTGCGAAAGGCCAGCGCAGAGAATCCCCGCTGACTCATAAGACAGCCTAAAGGTGCTGTGAAGGTCGACCCCGTCCTTGCGTTAGCAGTGTGACGCTCTGCAGGGAAGCATAAAGCACGCTCCCGCTACTGCATCCCCATCTTCCATGTTCATTCCAGGTGGTGTTCGATGCGTCTCCGAGACATGAGAAAGCCGTGGCGGGACCCGACGGGACAAGAGTTTGTGAATCATATGCAGTCTTGCCTTCTTCACCGACTCTTCACGTCGTTTGGTATGCTCCTGGATGACCTCATCCGATCATTTCCGCGAGACAGGGAGAACATGTGTTCAACAATGCCACGGTGTCTCGGCCAGATCAAGAATCTTTCCTTGCGCTGCTGTCTCAGTCCCTTCAACGGCAATCCATAGAAAGCTTGTCCGACCGGAGCCGGGTTGCACAGAGAAACACCTGGCGGTGATGGAGGCTGGACAACGACCAGTAAGAGGCCGAAGTGCGAATGGCGGAAGGAAATCCCGGCAATGGAGAATTTGACTGTCGATAAGTATGCTCCGCGGCCGACTCTACCCGATGGCTATTCGAGATTCTGTGTAAGACCAGGCCATGTTCCAAGGCAATTGGGCAGGGCGTCCGCATTCAATTTCTGATCCTGGAGGAGGATCATCGAATATGGCTAACCCTAACGTGGGCTGCGGGCACAGTGCACCATGTTCACACCCCCTCAGCCCGCAATTGAGCCCAGCAGGGGTTGAATGGCTGTAGTGTACGGAGTAGTGAACGATGGGGTGGTTTTGGAGAGGCCATCCTCGAATGAATTGGCGTGTTCTTGAGGGTGTTTTCACCTCGTGTGTGTTCGTGAGAGACGACGTTCTCCAGACATGTCTCCAGTGCGCGACTTCTGCCCTCCAATGAGTTGGCCAGAACACGTTTTCACGCGCTCTCACATGATGGCGGACTAATGCGAGCCTCGCACTACTGTTGTGGATGGATGACTCTCCCGCTCATGTCAACCAGTGGATCGCGATGCTGGAAATGGGTTTGTGATGGTGTTGACGAGTCTCAGAACCAGAACTCGTTGTATTGTGACCGTTTGCAGGACCCTAGAAATCTCTTTGTCAGATCGCATGGCGATGCGGCGCGGATGGCCTGAGCGAGACGGATGCAGGTCATCGTGATTTCGGTCCGTCAACTGGCGCTCCACTAGTGGCATGTCGAAAATGGCTGCCATTTCGTAGTTGACAGGGCGAGGCGAGCCGATACTGAGGGCGTGGCTTATCATTTGCAATGTGCTTGGCAACCATCTGCCACGAGTCGTATCGCATGCAGTCGATTTTACAATGGGAGGCATTGTCCGCAGGATGGCTCTTCAGGGGTTTCTTTGTCATTCGTATTCTGAATGCAACCTCGAATTCGTAATTCATTGTTGGGTGAAATACGTCCGATGTTGGGACCTAGAATGCTAAATCTTCAGTGTTATTTGAGTTGTCGATTGTTGAAGAGAACGGTTGTCAGCTGCATGTCATCCCGTAATGTCTAGACATGCGACGTTGAAAATCATGCAAACTTTCCTACTGTGCCTTTGGGGTCCGAAGTCTGACCTCACGGGGGCCATGTTCTTCCAAATTGCAATGCAGTTTGCGCTGTATCTGTGATTCTGTGCCGCAATACAACACAGTATTTGAGTGAATTGCGGCGTCGGGGGTTGAACCTGGAAGCTTGGATCCACAGATTCGGCGGGAGGGCGGGAGAGCATGGATCTGGTACAGTGCTCCCGTACGGTACGGAGCTCAGAGCTGAGAATGTCGGCCAGGGGCTTCCTGGCCTTGTGAGATTTGCAAGTCGATCACAATGGTTTGTCTGCCGCTTTGAATGATGCCGCGATCTTTCTTAGTTCGCCCGTCTTCTTCTCCATGATTACGGACGTGATTCTCTCGCCAAAGGCAAACAACGTGCCTAGAGACAGACTAGAGTCTCTAGTTTCCGACTAGGATCTGTGTCGATGTGCCGCACGTGGCTGGGGTCTCGAAGCAACGCGATGTTGCGCCGTTCGCGAGCTGTTAGCGGAAGAGCGGGAAGACTGGGATGCCCAGGCGTGGTGGTCTTGTTCTCCGCAAAATCTAGCGGCCGCATTCCCTGCAATCCGATATCTCGACCCTCAAGGTTCAAAGATGCTGTTCACATCACATCACATTAACCTAGCCACAACAGGACAGTGATTGGGGATGATGGGCACACCTCGACGCCTCAAAGTCCGTCCGCCAATCAAAGACGCGGGGTTTTGCTCGCTGCCATTGACGACTCCAGAAAATGAAAGCCGACATAGGCAGCGGAGGGAAACAATATGTGTGATCTGGAGGAAAAGGAGATTGCACCGTGACAGGGGCGTTCATCTGTCGCCTCTTTCTGGCTGAAAGCAGGTACGAAACGAGGCTGTTCACCATGCAACCGGAGTCGACGATCGCCTCAACTCAATCGAATGGTTCAATGCCACCATATCCGCAGTGTAGTATCCGTAGTGTACTCCGTACAAGGGGAAATGAGGGCCCAAGAGTGAAGCACAAAAACAGCGTCTTGGCCACGCCGATCGCTGAATCATGCAGTATTTGGATGCGAGAGATTTCATATTGATGTCGGATAATAATGTTATATGTGCCGCACGAGCTGACAATGCAAAGGTTCAGATGTAGATGATCGTAACGTCGAGTATCAATCAGTCGGGCACTGACAGTCTGACAGAACGGCAGCCCGACCCGCGAGGCAGATGTGGCGTCTGACCGGATAAACTTGCGTCTTCCGCGGAACGGACGCTAACGAACGGCGGGCTCTACTGCGGCGTCGGGTAGGCGGTAGTAGATTGCGGGACGGGCAGATAATTGTTGCGCACTCCGCAAGCCACGGTGCCCCTGAGAGATTGGCGATGATTGCGATTGTCAGCGGGCAGCAAGGCAGGCATCATGTTGCGAGAAAAAGCGAAAGACCCTGGGCTGTTGGCTGATTGCATCCGCAAAATGCTAAGGTACGGCACGGATGCTGTGCAGGCCGGGTGCTGCCTCGAGCAGCGGGCTGTTGGTTCGAGCCGCCGATGCAAGACCGTTACTGACGGCAAGTGTGCAAGATCCGGAATAATGGCAAACCAACGCTCCGTCAAGCGCATCCGCGTAACCTCAACTCGATGGACTTCGGAAGAAATGGTGGTGGGTCGCGTCGTTGGAGCTAATTAGGTCCTTTGGACGATGTTGGAAGAGAAGCTGTAACCATAATTAGCCCACATGATCCAGAAGTTGGCAGACTATCGATATGAGGTGATATCGTGACCTGGCGGGTTAAACTCCCGGCTACGAGGGATAATTCTCTCAGATCGGGGCTAAATAAAAATAGAAGCGGGCGACGGATGTTAGCTGACGTGACTGAATTCTGCGGGTGACAGTAAACAGCTGCAGCGGCTAGACGGTGTGACGAGCTGGATGACGCATGGAGAGGTGTGCTCAAATTAGCCCACATGTCAGAGTTGCAAAAGGGCAAATAGTGTGACGCAAAGAGGGTTAATTCGATCACGCACCATGGACTGGGCGGCTAATTAGGCCGCCAGAAATAGGCCATGACCTCGAGGATGGGATCATGGATGAGGTTTGTTCCGAGGGAAGCAGGCACTGGATGGGTGGCCAGACGGTCAGACGAACGGTACCTACCTATTCGTACTGCGTACTCCGTACAGGGAGGTGAGGATGATCCGAGTATCCCGTCTCGGAAGGTGGTGAGAGTGGTACTCCGATGCCGTAGGGCAACGTAGCTCGTCAGGCAAGAGCGTCCTGTTGGCGGGAGATCATCATCATCGGCGGACCTTGCCCGACGTGCCTCCTCCAGACAGCAAACTCGCCGTGCGGCGGGCGGCGGGCGGCGTGCCTGCCAGATGCATTGTTCGTTCGGCAGCACTTGCACGGCACGGAAGGAAGCGGAGAGCAGGAGGAGGAGGGGGGAAGAGATGAAGATACTGCACTATGATTGGTAGACACTCGGTAAGAAAGCCAGATTTTGGCTGGCAGATGGTGGACAAGCATCTTGAGGAACGTGCCTTCCGCTGCAGCGCTCTTTCTTCCTTGCGAGGGCAAGCCGCAAGAGCCAAGAGGGGCAGGAAACATGGAGCTAAGGCGCCCTAGCCTTGCTTAGCATGCGAACCCCGCGAGAAGGTGCCCTGTCACTTGCCGCGCTCCCGCCGTGCATTGGCCAAAGCTCTGCCCCCACCCGGTGGAGTAGCTGGGGGGTCCCTGACCAATATTCCTGCACGATCTTCTCGCTTGCAGCAAACAATGGCCAATCCGGGGCCGTAGCGGACCTCTCGCAAGAGCTTAAAACCCTGCGACATCACAAGCGCTAATAAACGGTTGGTCCCGAAGCCCTGCACGAGACGACAAGTCGTCACACCTCGCCATCGAATCAACGTGGGAGAAGGCGCTTTGGACAAAGGAACCTCGACTCAACGGACAATAACGCTAACGACGTACGACCGAGCAAAGAGGTGGCAGGTGCTGGAGACTGGAGAGGGAAAAAGAAACGCAGAGCAAATACCATCGGGAGGATGAGTAGCCAGCCGCAACCTTGTCCTTGTGCCTTTCTGCAGCCGTTATTCGCAACGACTAGCAGGCAAGCCGCAAGAAGGAAAGAAACCCTTACGGCTCTGGCGGAGCGGAGCACCTTGCACGACATCTCCCGCGGTGCCATGATACCCCCTTGCTTGCTGCACCTGCCACCACATTCGGCTGTAGTTGGGTATCGGTGCCCAAATACCGGCCTCGACATCTTCCACTCTCCACCAAAACCCACTCGCCCAATCTTTGGAGATGGATACTCGCCGAGCTCGCCTGCTCTCCTCACGATTCGAGGTATTTTCACTCTCTTGATTATCTGCGGAGTAGTCCAACTACACCAAGCACAAATCCATTGCTGACAGGCTACGAGCTACAGCAATGTACCCCTGAACTTCTCGCCATGCACGACAGAAAGTCCCAGTTCCACCGTATCAAGTCCGGCAGCCACATTCGACCAACTTTGAGTGGCCGGATGGACCATCCAATCCGGGAGCTGACCGCCTTTCTCGGCCTTCTCATT